AACATGAGCAGTGTGATAAGGACTCCATGCAGTGAGGGCAGTGCTTGATGAGATGTGCCTGTACTTATTTGATGTATTTGATGTACTTATTTGGCTGAACAGGCCTTGTGGGTGGAGTGGGAGGTCCTGGCCTTTGAAAACCACTCTGTACCTGGGTTGCCCTGGGGGATCTTTGGCCTCATCTCAGTGACTTGGCTCTTCCTCAGGTGATTTGGGTGGTAAGGTTACTAACCTTCCAGAACATAGAGGACAAGTGTAAGATTTATTAAAAGCACATTCGAGAAACTAGCAGGAAGCTCTTGCTAGTTATTTAGCACTTGTACTCATCATAGGAGTCTTACAAACCCTATGTCAACCATATATGTGTGTAAAGAATGAAATTACTTTTGATTGAGATCCATTGATTTGGGTGGCATAGAGATGGGGAAGTAAATGTGGGTGGGATTGTGAAAGAATAAAGTTTTCCCAGTCAGATTCTAAACTCCACAAAACCTTTCTCTTTTCTAGAAGGGAGAAGGAAACTGACATCACTTCAACACCAACAATATGTCAGAGGATTCTCTGCCTTTTCTCATTACACTCTTCTAAAAAAGTCCTTGGGAGAGATATCATCACCATCTTCATCTTACAGAACAGGGGGACAGGGACTTAGAGGACTTGCTTATACATATAACAAATACATTTATTATAAGCATACACGTACTAAGAAAGTTTATTTCTATTTTTTTTACCTTATTTATATTCAAAATAAATGTGTAGGGAGCAAAATAAGGTTGATTACTTTAAGAGGAGAGTTAATTTATATCTTTTGAAATCCAAGTGGAATTTTTACAGAAGATAATTATTAGCACTCTATGCCAAAGAGCTTGAATATAAATAGAGGAGGGAGAAAGGGTCTATGAACCCAGGAGCCTGGAGCTTTATTCACGGGACATGGAAACTGTTCACAGTGGGAAGCTCCAGGTTGACCCCTTTTCTGGAAGCTGTGACCCTACAAGGTTTGCATCTGAGTAGTTGATATCATAAAGGGGTGCCTACCTTTTTTTACTGTGTTTGTTCTAATAATAATACTAATCTTTTAATATATATATATATATTTTATTGATTTTTTACTGAGAGGAAGGGAGAAGGATAGAGAGTTAGAAACATCGATGAAAGAGAAACATGGATCAGCTGCCTCCTGCACACCCCCCACTGGGGATGTGCCCGCAACCAAGGTACATGTCCTCGACCAGAATCGAACCTGGGACCTTTCAGTCTGCAGGCCGACGCTCTATCCACTGAGCCAAACTGGTTAGGGCAATAATACTAATCTTTATTGTTTATGGAACATTAACATCCAAGGCAGTATGTTATGCACATTTTACATAACTCATCTTATGTGCTTGTTAAAAACTCTATGACACTGGTTTTACTGTTTTGCATATTTCATAGATGAGGACACCAAGACCCAAGGAAATTATATAAATCCAAAGTGTGATATTAAATCAGAAGAGTTTTAGACCAGTAGTCCTGAACTTATATCAGAGTCACCTTGAGACCTTTCATTTTATTTTAATTCAGGTTTTTAAAGACTCTATCTCTGAGTTTTTAATGCACTGGTATTGGTCAGCCACTTAGATGATTTGGCTACAGAAAAAAATCCTTGACCTGCTCAATGGCAAACAATGAATTTAAAAGATTCTTTTAAATTTGATGATGATGTTTGCCCATCTTCCTCAGAAGACTTGCTCAAGTTGTTTGAGATATCTTACAGCAGTTCATATAGCAGTACTTGTTAAATTAGAGAGGAAACTGTCCTTCCAATACAAAACCTAGGTCTCAATAACAGTTATATTGACTCAGTTCTCCCTTCCTGATATGTTATTGCCTTAGAGCGCTGCTCACCTGATGAGAGGCAGACATAGCACAAGGGCTTGGACTCCCAGGTCTTCCTGGAACGTGTGTGGTCTACAGTGCTTTACTGGATCACCTATTGCTGGGCACAGGTCCACACTTTTCCCATCACTAACACCACTGATATATTTTGAACATCAGTGGGGCCAGTAAGGATGAGAGCCAAGGAAGTGCCCCAGTGATGTGAGGAAGGTCCTTCGTTTGTTCTTTCCCAATGGTGCAAGTATGGTAACTGGGTCCCAGAGAGAAGAATGACTTGCTTATTGTCCCCTAGAAATTAATGGCTGGGCCAGCATTAGAATCCAGATGCCCAGGCCCAAAGCCTTTTCTATTATTCGTGGAACTAGTCTCACTTTATCCTGTTGTTTTGGAGAAAATGTTCTCTCTGATTCCTACACAAGCTCCAGTTCTTTCCAGTGCTCAGATCCTCTCAATAATCATGTAACCGAATCTCAGTATTACATTTTCTCTTGAAATACTGAGTATGGTTTCTGTGTCCATTACTAAACCCGACCAATAGAGTGAGAGTCTGGCCCTTCAACTTTCATAATGGAACACTGCTGTTACTTTACACAAAAACTCCCCATGGTAGGGAATTCTTCAACTGTAGGAATGGCATTAAGATTCTGAATATTGGGGGGCAGGGGAAGGGGACATATGTAATACTTTCAACAATAAAGACTTTTTTAAAAAGAATTTTAAAAAAAATGAAAAAAAGAGATGCTGAATATTAAAACAACAAAGTGACAAGTGGCCATTATATCGCCCTGATTTCCAACAAGGCTGTGGGGTCTGGCAACACCTTATTACACTCAAACCTGGATTTTAGCTCCAGTTTTGCTGTTGATTTGCTGTGTATCTTGGATGTCTATTTCCTACTAGAAGCTTCCATTTGAACATGTATAAAAAAACAAGGAGGGTTGTTTGGGCCGGTGGGGCTCTCTAATAGCCTCAGCTTGGACACTTCCTGAATTTTCAAACCATCCACAGCTTCCTCTGGGCATTTCTGGCTCTGCAGGAAGCTTTGAGGTGAGACTAAAAAGGAGAGGAAGATGAGGGGGATCTCAGGTCTGCATGGCACCATGAATAACACCAAAAGATTCCACTCGAGGTGTTCCCTAGGTTTTAATGGGTAGAGAAATGAACAAACAATTAACAAAGACATGCAGCATCTTTCACTGAGGTCTTAGTAAGGCATGGAGTTCCCTGTACTCAGTCACAAGGGCTCTGGGCTCATTCTCAGCAGGTGAGCAGATACTACCAACTACAGGGCACACTCTGGCTATTTCCAAGGACCTCTCTGGTTCATGAGCCCCTAGGACGGATGATTCTGTTCCAGTCACTCATGTACTTCAACCCCAAGCAAGGACTGAGAAGCACCAATGGGTTGGAAAAGCCCCAGGTGCTTATCATATTGGGCAGGGCTGCTGAGCTGCCTTATCTTCTCAAATTTAGAAGTATTCTTTGACACTAATCCACCACCTTCAGCTCATGGTTAGAAAACAGGTCCTGAGAGGAGCAGTCCTGCACCCTACCCTGTCCAGCTGGGCTTCTTGATGGAATTGTGCAAAAGAGAATTTAAATTCCTGTCCTGTGTTTTTAGGACACAAATATCAAGTATTGCCGTGCATTCATGCTTCTATTGTATGCATCCCAACTACAACCAAAATAAAAGTATAATAATTTTTGTTCAACCATGTTCAACAAAAGACTGAATTATCTTTCCACAGAAATTGAGTTTTGTAGAATTGCTGTCATATATGTAAAAACTTAATAATTAATCTATATAGATCTTATGCAACATGTGGTATTTGTTAGCTTTTTAAAATTTGAAATTGGTTGCAATTTTCTTTCTCATTTGAAGAATATTCACTTTTTAATTTGTATTTGTTTATGAAATGAACCCCCTAACTTTATAAGCTTTAGACCATACAAAACATGAATCGGCTCTGGTTCCATTCTTAAGCATCTTATGACAATTTTATCAGGAAACAGTGTCACCAGAGTTTTCAATTTGCAGGATTTTTCTACTCCTCTCTCCCTCTTTTGACGTCCCCAGGAGATCCAATGACCTCTTTTCCAAAAACTGCACCAGGGAGCAAATGTGAATTATTCAGCCTCGGAGATATCAGACCTCACGGAGCACTTTATTAGAGAAAACTGGAGGCTTCCAACGGATAAATGGGGGCCCAAGAGTTGAAGATACAGGGTCAAAGGGCGATAGGCATTATATTTGAAGAGAAGCTGAGCTGCAGGAATAGCCAAGGTCTTGGCAGCAGAGACTTGGCCAGCAAAAACCAATATGGGACATCAGTCAAGCACACATGGAGAGAGCCTGTATTATGAGCCAAATTCTGGAGGTGGTTTCAGCTTAGGTTATCCTACCCAAGACCACGACCCTGTGAGATAGCAGAAAAGAAAAGGGTGAGATACTTGGACTTTAATCCCCATATGAACTAAGTCTTGCAGTTAATGGAAAAAGAGAGGTAAGATGTGTGTGTGTGTGTGTGTGTGTGTGTGTGTGTGTGTGTGTGTGTGATTTTTAGAGTATGTTTATTAATTCTGGGGACAGTGAAACAAATGAAGGGCTTAGGGTAGAAGAAGCAACAGGAGAGAGCCTAAGTGGTGTCCTGCTTTGGCTCTATAGAAACATTATAGGAAAGAAGTGAGCCATGCAGGGCAGTGTGTACTCACTCAGAAATAAATGTCAGTGACAGAAGTGAGCCTAGGTGGGGCTTCTGTTAGCTCATTATAAAGTCAGAGAAAAGGGAGCCTTGAAGACAGGCTCAGGGGATGAGCCCGGGATGCGCTGCCACTGCCCACTGCTCCCCTGGTTGCAAGTCTCGCCAGGATCCTTAGCATTTAGGAGAAATAGAGATAAGATATATGCCTGAGAAAGAGAGAAGAAAGGTGTGGAAGTGTTTGAGATAAGATCATTTGGCATCTTTTCACAGGAAGAGGAAACAGAAGTGGAGTGACTTCAGGGGCTCAGAGGGTGATCACATGTTCTGGTGTTCCATTAAAGTCCCAGTTTATGTCCGTTTCCCCAATAACATAATTAATGGCATTTCCTTATGCTCTCAAAAGTATCTTCATGTCATCAATGTAGCATGTGGTTGTCCTAGCTATAATCAGCTTAAGAAGGAAAGGGAAGAGAATTGTTGATGAGGTTTGGTGAGAAGTAATGTCCCGGAGTGACTGACTGATTCATGGTGCCAAGCACTGGGCTTACTTACTCGGCCTTCTTCTGACTTGGTCTCAGACCCTTCACCACTTCAGCTTTCTTTGTACCCTCTATTCATCTCATACTTGCCAACTTTGACTACTGCTTCCCTTCCCACCCTCTTTTTCCTCTACTTGCCCCTTCAAAGGTGCATTCTTATTTCCTGATTGAATTGGTTATATCAGCCCCAAACCTGCCAAGTTCCTAGAACAGACCAGCCAACACCCAGATCTCCCAGGGTAGCCCAGGTGAGCATGGGAAATGGGACCCGTGGGACTTACTTTCTTTTTTTTGCAGATGGTCTTGCAGATAGATTCAGATTGGAAGTTGTTATCATTCCCTAGGCAACCACCATAGATGAATTCGGAGCATGCCTGAGTTTCCTTATCATACCACCAGCGTGGAAAGAAGGCCAGGCAGGGGCCAACTACCTTTGGCAAACTGTATATAACTGCAAGGAGATTGCAGAGTAGAGCAGTTTGGGTGCCTGCCTCCCTAGAGAACATTTCAGACATGTGCAAAGTCATGGAGGAGTGGCCTCTTACACGCCTCCATGCCTTTGCACATGCCTGGAATGTCCACCTCTCTCTTGCCCACTAGGTACATCCCTTTTCATTATTCAAACACTTCTCAGTCATCAGACACTTCTATGTTGCCTTTCCTGGCTCCATGCTTCACTCCTTGCTTTTCTGTATTGCTTCTCAGTCTGGCACACACATTTGCCACTTCTATGTAATTATTTGTTTGTATTTTCTGACTCCTCCATGAGAATGTGAGATGTGTGCCTTATGTCATCTTGGTACACCAGGTCCTTGAAGATAATTTGGCACTGAGTGGATGCTTCAGGAATGTTCACAGTAAAACACACACACACACGCACACACACACACACACACACACTATATGAATGAATGAATGAATGAATGAATAAATAAATAATAAAATCGCCAATGTGGCTCTGTTGGTTGGGCATCGTCCTATGCACTGAAAAGGCACTGGTTCATTCCTGATCAGGACACATTCTGGGTTGCAAGCTGATCCCCAGTAGGGGGCATACAGGGCATAGACAATCCATGTTTCACTCTCATATCAATGTTCCCCTCTCTCTCCCTTCCTCTTTCTAAAAATCATTTAAAAATATTTTAAAAAATAAAATGTATCCTAAACTTCAAAAAACATTTATAGAGCAAATATTTTGTGCATAGTGCTAAGGGGAATAAAGAGAGGGGTTTTTTTTGTGTGTGTGTTTTTGTGTTGTTTTTTTTTCAGAACCGTATCACTTAAGATCTCACAGCTCTTAAATTGTGGATCTTTTTACCTGGAAAAACTTTACTGAGTTCCCTGGCTACACTGAGCAAGTGGAGCCTATCATTGGTGTGAGGGGAACCAGTAAATATTTGTAAAATGAATGAATGGATGAGTACTCCTTGATGGTCTTCTTTAGAGTTCAATTATATGAGAAGAGAGGAAAGAATGAAGGAGGACAAAGGTGGTTAGGGAAGGCATTTTGGATTTATATAGACAAAGAGGCCTAGAAAAAGCACAATCAGGAAATAAAAATCGTATACCTGTGTCTTATAGCTATTCTATCACCTGGCTCTCTGTTGGCATTTGATGGGACTTCACTGGCTATTTGGCATCTCAGAGGATCACAGAAAAGCAGCCAAGAGACAGTGTGATCTAATGCCCACTCCCCCACTCCCATCTTTCTTACAGATGGGAAACTAAGTCTCATAAAGGAAAAACTCCATTACCCACATCACATACCTAAATATGAACAGAAAAGAAAGAAAACCCATGACTCCCAACACCCCCTCCTTCCAAATCCAGGATTTATATTAATTAAAAGATGCACCCAGACTCTTGATCAGACACCAGCCATCAGTGAACCAGGGAAGTGGTCTAGTAATGTCGGTGTAGGTAGGCAGAAAGTGGGGGTAGGGTGTGTAGGCATTGGATAGTTCAGAGGATTTCTGAGTTACCTTGTTTGAGGTTTAAACATTTCCTTGCACAGTTAAAGTTGCAACACTTCATCTTCTCTGGGCACTGTCTGCTCTTTAGACATTGGTTTATTTCGTTCGTATCACAATGTATTTTGATTTTGGGACATGTGTCTAAGGGGAGGGAAGAAAGGACTTTGAAGGGGCCAGAACACCATTCCCAGGTCTAGGGCACCGCTGCAGACTTAGGGAATTTTGTTCAGTTCATTGTCCACAGAAAGTAGTGATCTTCAGAGGACTTATGATTGGCACACTGCTGCCCCCATCTCCACCCCATCACAATTTACCATCTAATCCCTAAATTCAGCCTTCTCTCCTATACTCACCTCCCACAAAGTTTTAAGGAGAAGGACACTCTCCCCTAGGACTGTTCTGTTCACTTAACCTTCCTGTATTTGGACATTCCCTGAGTGAGGGTGGGGTGGGAGGAGGTGCTAGAGCTTTCGGTGATTGAGCTCTCCATTTTTGGAGTTAGATGGCCGAGTTTCTGAATTTTGTGAAATCTTTGGTATGGCAGGCACCATCTCTGATCCTCTATTTCCTTATTTGCCTATGATTGTTTTGATGATAGTGTGACAAAGCTAGTAAAGCAATTGGCAGGCTGCCTCGGGCATAATAATAATAACTAATATTAATGAAGTGCTTACTATGTACTTGTATTTTTCTCCTTAACCTTCATGACAACTCTATGGGTAAGCCCTATTAATATTCACATTTTAGGGCCAACCCTGCTGCCTTGACAAGCAGCGTGCACATCCTATCCAGCCATCTTGACACATGGCCCACCTGGATGCATGGGTCTGCAATAAGAATCCATCAGAAATGAAAAATGACATAGCTGAAATAAAAAATACCCCGCATGGAATCAACAGTAGACTGGAAGAAGCTGAGGACTGAATCAGCAAATTAGAAGACAGGATAGAAAAAAACACCCATTTAGAGCAGCAATTGGAAGAAAAATTAAGAAGCAGGAGGAGAGTTGAAGGAAGCTTTGGGACAACATACTATGTAACAACATCCACATCATAGGGGTGCTGGAAGAATCTGAGCAAGGAATGGAGAACCTGTTGGAAGAAATAATGACAGAAAAACTTCCCTGACCTGGTAAAGGAAAAAGTCACAGAAGTCCAAGAAACACAGAGTGTCCCAATCAAGATGAACCCAAAGTGACCCACACCAAGACCCATCATAAATAAAATGCCAAATGTTAAAGACAAAGAAAAAATATTAAAGGATGCAAGAGAGAGAGAGACAGTTACCTACAAGGAGCTCCCATTAGACTTCCAGCTGATTTCTCAATAGAAACACTTCAAGCCAGAAGGCAGTGTCATGAGTATACAAAGTAATGAAAAGCAAGGGACTGAATCCAAGACTACCCTATCTAGCAAGGCTATAATTCAAAATTTAAGGTGAAATAAAGAGCTTCATAGAAAAAAAAAGGCTGAAGAAGTTTATTACCACCAAACCAGCGCTGCAAGAAATACTAAAGGGACTGTTGTAAGAAGAGAGAGAGGAGCACAGGCATAAAGAATAAAAGTGGCAACAAATAAATACCTATCAATAATAGTCTTAAATGTAAATGGCTTAACTGCTCCAATCAAAAGACATAAGGTAGCTGAATGGATAAGAAAACATATTACCTGCCAATTGCTTTACTAGCTTTGTCACCCATATATACGTTGTCTACAAGAGACCCAACCCAGAACAAAAGACTCACATAGGATGAAAGAGAAGGGATGGAAAAAATTTTCCATGCAAATGGAAATAGAAAAAAAGCTGGGGTAGCAATACTCATCTGACAAAATAGACTTCAAAATGAAAGCCAGAACAAAAGACAATGAAGGCCACTTCCTAATACTAAAGGGACTGATACAATAAGAGAATATAACCCTAGTAAATGTATATGCATCTAATATAGGAGCACCCAAATATATTTTAAAAACTTCTGGCCTTAGCCAGTTTGGCTCAGTGGATAGAGTGTCAGCCCTTGGACTGAAGGGTCCTGGATTTGATTCTGGTCAAAGGCATGTACCTGGGTTACAGGCTCAATTCCTGGCCCCAGTTGGGGCATGTGTGAGAGACAACCGATTGATGTGTCTCTCTCACATTGATGTTTCTCTCTCGGTCTTTCCCCCTCACTTCCATCCTCTCTCTAAAAAAAAAAATCAATGGAAAAATATTCTTAGGTGAGGATTAACAACAACAACAAAACAAACAAACAAAAGACTTCTGGAGGATTTTAAGGGAGAGATTGACAGCAATCATAGTAAGGGACTTTAACACCCCTGGCATCACTGGATGGATCTTCCATACAAAATATCAACAAGAAAACAGGGACACTAAATGACACACTAGATCAAATGGATTTAATTAACATTTACAGAACATTTCAACCAGAGCTACAGAATATACATTCTTTTCAAGTACACATGGGACATCCTCAAAGATAGACCACATGTTAGGACACAAAATAAGTCTCTACAAGTTCAAGAAGATTTAAATTATATCAAGCATCTTCTCAAGTCACAATGGCATGAAACTAGAACTCAACTACAATAAAAATACCCCAAAATATTCAAACACGTGGAAGCTAAATAGCAAGTTTTTAAACAATGAGTGGGTTACCAATGAGATCAAAGAAGAAATAAAAACACTTCCTGGAAACAAATTAAAATGAACACACAACAACCCAAAATCTATGGGACACAGAAAGCAGTCCTGAGAGGGAAGTTCATAGCACTATAGGCCTATCACAAGAGACAAAAAAAAATTATAATAAACTATTTAACCCTACATCTTAAAGAATTAGAAAGAGAACAAGAAAATCCCAGAGCAAGTAGAAAGAAGGAAATAATAAAGATCAGAGTGGAAATAAATGACATAGAGACTTAAAAAAAATACAAAAGATAAATGAAACCAAGAGCTGGTTCTTTGAAAAGATAAACAAGATTGATGAACCTTTAGCCAGACTCATCAAGAAACAAAGAGAGCCTTGGCCAGTTTGGCTCAATGAATAGAGTGGTCGGCCTGTGAACCAAAGAGTCCCAGGTTTGATTCCTGGTCAAGGGTATGTACCTCAGTTGCAAGTTCCCTAGCCCCAGTAGGAGTGCATGCAGGTCTCTCTCTCTCTCTCTCTCTCTCTCTCTCTCTTTCTCTCTCTCTCAAGCAATGGAAAAATATCCTTGGGTGAAAATTTAAAAAAGAAACAAAGAGAGATGACCCAAATAAATAAAATCAGAAACTGAAGAGGTGAAGTAACAACTGACACCACAGAAATACAAATTGTTGTAAGAAAATACTTTGAACAGCTATATGCCAACGAAGTGGATGACTTGGATGAAATGAACAAATTCCTAGAAAAATATAATCTTCCAAAACTGAATTAGGAAGAATCAGAAAACCTGAATAGGCTGATAACAACTGATGAAATTGAAGCAGTAATAAAAATACAGGAAACAAAAGCCCTGGCCCAGGCAACTTCACAAGGGAATTTTACCAAATATTCAAAGAAGAACTAACATCTATCCTCCTCAATCTATTCCAAAAAATCCAAGAGGGAGGAACACTTCTAACCAAAACCAGATGAAGATACTATACCAAAGGCATATTCCACAGATCTAGAATACTCCAAAAATTCATATGGAACCTAAAAAGACCCTGGATAGCCATAGCAATCTTGAGAAAGAAGAACAAAGTTGGAGAGATCACAATATCCGATATCAAACTATACTACAAAGCCACTGTGATCAAAACATCCTGGTACTGGCACAAGAACAGGCATATATAGATCAATGGAACAGAACAGAGAACCCAGAAATCGACCCAAGCTGTTATTCTCAATTAATATTTGACAAAGGAGGCAAGAGCATATAATGGAGAGAACATGTTTATCAATGATACATCAGATAAGGGGTTAATTTCCAAAATACATAAAGTACTCATAAAACTCAACAAAAGGAAGACAAACAATCCAATTAAAATATGGGCTGAGGACCCAACAGACACATCTCCAAAGAGGACATACAAATGGCCAAGAGACATATGAAAAAATGCTCAGAGTCACTAATCTTCAGAGAGATGCAAATTACAATCACAATGTGGAGAAGTGCATAGGGGCCACTGTAGTAGGCAGGCGGTCTGGTGTTGCCCAGGCCAGGCAGGGTTCGGGGTGAAGGCACCCCCGCACAACACCTTCCAGACCAGGCCCTGACACGCCTGTTCTTGTGAGCCTTGTGGTAGAACAGCTGTTTGACCCATTCAAAGGAAGGATGAAAGCTCTATCTAAAACATGTTGTGAATGGAAGAGACCTGTCATTATGAAAATGGTATGGCACTCGGAACAGACACTTAGAACAGCTCTCATCTCAAAGAACCCAGTGCTTGTGTCCCAGTAGAAGATTGATGCTGCAGAGTGGTGTTTGATTGGATCACCTTTCATCCTGAGCCTCCCCAAGACCTTGAAGAGTTTTCAAATGATGCTTCCAGAAAGACACCTTCTCCAGAGAAACACAGTATTTATATACAGTGCACTGGATCTCTAGGAAACACCAGAATTATCAGTGAAAAATCTATTAAATGGCTCAAAGGCTACTGTGAAGCAATTTTCTATGGCTTGACAGTAAAATGCCTAGAACCAGTTCCTGTCTCTGCAACGAGTTGTTCCTTTACAGTCAATGATAATATACAAAACCTTCAAATACATGCAGGGCACGTCCTGAAGTTCTTAAAAAAGAAGGAAGCTGAGGATGACTTCTGTGTTGCGGGAATAACAAGGATACATCTTCACCCAAGAGACTCCTGAAATTTTGTCTTTGGGCAGGTCTCTGACAGATGGTGTGGGGATGTTCAGCTTTGTAAGATATGGCAGTGATTTCTACATCTCAGGCTATGAAGGCAATGTGAAGGTGTCGCAGAAAACAATCTTCAAGTGGCTACTCCGTGTTTGGTAACTATTATACTCCTGCAATGACTGGTGTTTTGCTGCTTCAGTCCTGTAAGACTTCAGCACACGAAATTAGACACATATTTGGACTTCGACCCTGCCAGTGGATTGCATGCCTAGAACAAGCACTTGGAAGAAGCTAACCAGTGCCCCCTAAATCCGTGCCCTGTCTGTTTACACAAGTTGCAGTGTGCTATTAGCTTCAACGTTGTAGAAAGATACGAAGGGCTGGTGAGGTGGATTGATGATGAATCTGCTGACTCACCAGTCACTCCAAAACATAGTCGTGAGAATAATGTGCATTTGCCCTGTGGGAACCTTTACAGAGTGGATAATGAAATGCCTTGCTGTTGTCCAAAAATAAGAACCTTCAAATAGGAGTAATTAAAATAAAAATTTGCACATTAAAAACAAAAAACAAAAAAATGATGATGAGGTACCACCTGATACCTGCCAGAATGGCTACCATCACTGAATCAACAAACAACAAGTGCTGGCGAGGATACAGAGAAAAGGGAACCCTAGTGCACTGCTGGTAGGAAGGCAGACTGGTACAACCACTATGGAAAACAGTGTGTCGTTTCCTCAAAAAATTATAAATGGAACTGCCATTTGATGCAGTGATCCCACGTCTAGGAATATATCTTAAGAAGCCTGAAACACCAATTAGAAAGAATTTATGTAACCCTATGTTCATAGCAGAATTATTTACGATCGCTAAGATCTGGAAACAGCCCAAGTGCCTGCCCATCAGTAGATGAATGGATAAAAAAGCTGTGGTCTATTTACACAATGGAATACTATGCAGCTATAAAAAAAGAAAGATCTCTTACCCTTTGAGACAACATGGAGGGACCTGGAGAGTATTATGCTAAGCAAAATAAGCCAGTCAGAGAAAAACAAATATCACATGATCTCTCTTATAAGTGAAATCTAATGAATAAAATAAACTGAAAAACAGATCCAGAGACATAAAAGTATGCAACAGACTGAAGATTCTCAGAGGAAAGGGAAGAGGACTGGAAGAGATTAACCAAAGAACTTATATGCATATATGTGGAGACAGACAGTAGTTCCATGAAGGCCTGGGGGTAAGGGGGAGAGCAGGAGTGGGCAGGCAGGGGTCAATGGGGGGGGCGGGGAGAGGGGAGAAAGGGACATCTGTAGTACTTTCAACAATAAAGATAAAATATAAAAATATTCACATTTTATATCAGAGGAACCTAAAGCACAGAGAAGTTAGGAGAACTTTGCCCAACATCATACAGCTGCTAAGAAGGGGAGCCAAGATTTGAACCTGTGAAGTATGGCTCCACTGTGGTCTGAATGCTCTGTATGTTTTAGCTGCTAATTATGAGGGTCTTCATATCTCAGCATTTCAAGGGACTTCCGGAGACCATTCTTTACCCCAAAGGCAAGGATCCCCTGTGGGTGTGGGAAGACTTTTGGGGCCTGTAATGGGAAGGGTAGTGCTAGGGGGAGTGGCCTTTCATATGGAAAAGACCCTTAAGCTTCCCAGTTCCCTTAGTTTGTTTCATGAGCTCCAGGTCCAGGCACTTTCAGGAAGTGAGATCTCTCATAATGATGGTGTGGGAGTGGGGGTGGGGGGTCAATTGCCACTGACTGTTTCCTGCATTCCCGGAGGCGTCTTACCTGAAAAGAAAACTCCAAATATCTCCCCTCTTTCCCGCCCAGGATCCCAGGCTGAGATGGGGGAAAGCATTTCTCAGGGGTAGAATTCTTTGTTCCTTCCTCCCAGCTGAGTTCCATTTCTCCACTGGGAGGACTGAGTCCCCAATACTTACTGAAGAACCCCTCAACCAGCCCAGGTTCCTGGACACCCGCCAGGAGGATGAACAGTACCAGTATTGACAGAAGTCCTGAGAGCCCCATTTTAGGAGGGGCTGGTCTGGCTGGTGGCACCAAAACTAAGAACAAGTGCTAAGCAGCAACCTCAGAGCTTAACACTCCAAGAGGTACAAGTCCCTGGAGACCAGCCAGCTACTCTCCCTCCTCCAAGGAACGCCAAGTCCCCGAGACCATGAATGGGACTAGCTGACACCCACAGCACCAACCCTGAGGGAAGAGGCTCCTGATAGGCAGCATCTAGTCCTCAAGTGAGCTGAGGCTCTCTGGCTGTCTGGTCAACCAGAGAGAGAAAGTTTATCGGGGGCTTCTAAACTCCTTTAGCAGAGGGAATGTTCGATTCCAAGGTCTCTCATTTTTCAGGGAGAGTTTGGAGGTCAAGAGTATCCCAGGTCTTGTCTTTCTTTCCGAACTTACTCTTCTGGTGTGTTTATTTTTCTGTCTGCTTGTTTTTCTCACGCTGTTCATTTTCTTCTCTCTGTGCATCCTTCTTTTACTCTGTCCCTGTCTTTCTCTCTCTTTTTTTTCTGTGAGTCTCTCACGGTCTGGGTCTCTTTCTCCCTGCCCTTCTATTTCCCTCTGGTCTTTTTCTTCTTTCTTCTCTTTGGGCCATCCCTTTTCTTTAACCATCATCAAAGAGTAAAGCTATTGCCACGAATAGCATGGAAGGGAGGAGAAGGTTGATTCCAGATTGAACCAAATCTTCAGAGTGCCTATCAAAATCATGATACTTTGAAAGCAGGAGAGAATGTTAGGGCTAACGGAGAGCTTCTATCATTGGGTTCAATTTGGAATAGGTGAAGCAGGAGGGAAATAGTAAATGAATGTCAGTTATGACCTCAGAACCAGCTGCATCAATGAGTGGGGCCTGAAGATTATTCCATTGAACTTTCCAATTTAAGGCTTGAAGCATCAGTAAGACATATTCTCAGCTCACCTGCAGCTGCAATTCTAATGTACATTTTTTTCTAATCCATTTTTTATAATTGAGATGGAATTCACATTATATAAAATTAACCATTTTAAGTGAACAGTTAAGTGGTTTTTTATTACCTTCATGGTGTCGTGTAACCATCACCTTTATTAGTTCCAAAACATTTTTATCACAAGAGAAAACTCCATACCCATTAGCAGTCACTCTCCATTTTCCCCCAGCCTTACTCCAGCCCCTGGCAACCACTAATCTATTTTCTACCTCTATGAATTTGCTTATTCTGGATATTTTATATAAATGGAACCATAGAGTGTATGGCCTTTTGTGACTGGCTTCTTTCACTTAGCGTAATGTTTTTGAGGTCCACCCACAGTGTGGCATGTATTCATGCTTCCTTCCTTCTTCTGGCTGAATAATATCTAGTGCATATTGATAGCTTTCCACTTCAAGCATCAGAGTCTCTACTTCTCTGCTGAGAGTTTTTTCTGGCTCCTGGGAGCTTGCTCAGATTCCATACAGAACAGCCTAGAAGAATGAGGGATTTCATGCCCCCCCCCGCCCCCCCACCCCAGACATCCAGGAGGATATGGGAATCAGTGGATACACACCTCAGCTTCCCTGTAACTACAGATGGAGACATGTTTTACATGGTCTTGTGGAAGGTCTCCAGTAGAATTAAGCTACAGTTTGCACAGTGGTAACCAGCTCATTATCAACTCCTCGCTTTCCTATATCACTTACCTACTCCTCACATTTATCTCCCAAATAAACTACTTTTACCCATGCCCTTGTCCTAGGATCAGTTACTGGGGTATCCAAGCTAAGGCAATGCCCAGGAGCCCTTATCATAAAAGGGTCTTGCAATTTTTTGAAGAAACAGAGGAGAATAACAATATCCCTGGGGTATCAATTTTCAAGGTTCTGATTTTCTTCACTCCCTTTAATGGTGTCTTCAGAAGCCTCAGTAAGCTTTTACTCTCCACAAACCATAATGTACCAATAGATGTGAGTCATTCAGCCTTAGAGGCACAGGATCAAACAGTATTTTATTGGGAAAAAATGGGAGCTACATAGGTATAAACAGGGGGTGCTAGAAGTTGGACTTTAGAAATGGGAGCAAAACAGGATATTTTATATGAAAAGAGACTGAAACGGAAGAAGGGGGGAGCAGATCCAGGGGTTTAGTCTTGGGAAGGGCTAAGGCCTTGGAATGCTGGGAGTGGAATAGAGGAAGCCAACTTGGAGTGCCAATCGGGCACACGGACAGAGCCTTGAATCATGAGCCAAATCCTGGTGGTGTTCCAGTTAATCCATATGCATTCAGGATTAGAAGCCTGTTGACAATGGGGACCAAGACCAGTCGAGCATCTTGGGCTTATCTTCAGAACTAGTCTTGAAGTTGTGTTTGAACATTTCCACAGGACATTAAACAGAAGTGAGTTTACTTTGGGAAGCTATACATCTTCTTAGAGGAAAAATGGATGTGGATGGGAGTGGATTACTAGCAAAATATTGTAATGAGGAAATTAATGGCCTGGGTGGTTGGTCAACATGCCCAGTGCTAGGCTGGGTGTCATGTGATCTCTCTGAAGTTGGGTCTCTGATATTTCACCACATCTGCACCCTCCCTCCACTCCTCATACTTGCCAGCTTTGGTTCATGGCCACGTTTTTTCCCAGTCTCAGTTCCCACTAAGCCCCTGTCCAGCCCTCTGTGAGATATATTCTTACCTCCTGGTTGAAGCTGATTGTGCCAAGGATGCAGCCATCCTAGAGTGGACTAGCCAACACCCAGACCGCCCACGTGGCCCTGGGGAGGATGGGAGGTCAAGGCCCTTGGTACTCACGTTTTTTGGAGCACATATTCTGACACAGGTCTTTGGTTTGGAAGTTGTTATTGTTTCCTTGGCAGCCACCATAGATGAACATGGAACAGGTATCATTCTTCTTATCATACCACCAACGACGAAAAAAAGCCATGCAGGGACCAGGATTTTTCGGCAAACTGCATATATCTGCAGGGAGATCCCAGAGTTGAGAACTTAGAGTGCCCACCTGGAAAAAATACAACTGTTACTGTCCCTTTGGCAACCCCTGTAGAATAAAACCGAACCGTCTCCACTTCACCTGATCACACCGTGGGGCCCAACCCCATTTATGTATTGTGCACATTTCACGGAGACCGTAAAGTGGAGCTGTCTGGGCAACTGCCTCCCTGGGAAACATCGGTATCTCCCTTCCCTTCTGGTCACTGGCCTCATTGTCTCCCCTGAGAGTGAGGAGACTCTGGCTTCAAGGTTCTTTTCCTAATTCAGTGTCTGCCCATCGACCTCCCACATGACCTCTCTTGTCCTCGACTTCCATTTCTGTAAAATGGAAATGCAAAGTCTCACCCTGCTTGTTGCACAGGGCTGTCCTGAGGGCAAGTGAGACCACCCTCATGGCCCTCTAAGTTGCCAGCTCTTTGACTGTATCTGAATGTGCAGCTTTGAACACAGTGCTTGGCAGAGAGTAGCTGCTCAAAAAACATGCCCTGAATAAATAAAAGATATGGAAATTAGAAATTATAAGCCATTTACTCTGCCTTCCAAAGCATGCCAAGAAGAGACTATGTGATCGTGAGTAAAGTGCAAGCCCAATGCAGGGAAGGCGAGAGTAGTTTTTCAGATGGTCAAGCCCCCTTTCTTCTTGTGGTTAGTTTCATTCCTGTTATGAAATGAATTGCATCCCCTCACCCCCCAACCCATTTATATGTTAAAGTCCTAATCCTCAGTACCTCAGAATGTGACCCTATTTGGAAATAGAGTTGAGTTATACTGGAATAGGGTGCATCTCTAATCCAGTATGACCAATGTCCTTAGAAAAAGGAGAAATTTGTTCAGAGACACACACAGGGAGAACACCATGTGAAGTTGAAGACAGAGGTCTACAAGCCAAAGAATGCCAACCATTCCCAGCATAACCCCCAAAATTAGGGGAGAGGCATGGAACAGATTCTCACACACAACTGAGAAAGAACCAACCCTGCCAACACTTGACCTTGGACTTCTAGCCTGCAGAACAGTGAGACAATACATTGCTGTTGCTAAAGCTGCCCAGTCTGTGGTACTTTGTTTCAGCAGCCCTGGCAAACCAAAACAGGTCTGAACTAAACTGCTAGTTCAGCTGAACTTAAGTCCTATTGATTTTCACTTCCTCATAGCCTACCTCTCTGCCACTCTTTTTCTTAGTTTCAGGTGTGCAGCATAGTGGTTAGACAATCATATACTTTACAAAGTGTTTCCCCTGATATTTCCAGTATCCAACTGGCACTAGTCTGAAGTGGTCAGAGGAGGTTTGCTGGTGCTGTTAGACTTACCAGGTTAGGCAGAGAGGCGGGGAATCTAGAGCAAGAAGCTAGATGATACCATTTGCAGCAACAATGTTGGTATATGGTGGGCCAACAATGGCCACTGGGGACTCAAAAGAGTAAGAGTGGAAACTAGCCAAGAGACTATCATCACACCCTTGCACCCCTTTGCAGGGGAAAGCGAAGCCCAGACAAAATGAGGACATTACCTAATGTCAGACATCATATTAGGGGCGGAGATGCATGTAGAGCCCATGTTTCCCAAGTCTAGCAGTGTTGCTCACACACCTACCCTTAGCACACCAGGGACAAAGCCAGCCCAAGTGGGCAGACGGTGAGGGTTTGGGCAGAAGGATTGGTTATTCAGAGGCTCTGAGTAGTACCTTGTTGGAGGTCTAAACATTTTTTCCCACAGTTGAAGACACAGCACTTCTTCTTGTCCGGACAGGTTTTGTTCTTCGAACATTCATCCCTTTCTTTGAATTGGCATTTCTCTCGGATTCTGGGGCATCTCCCTGTGGAAGAGACAGTTTTACAACCATGAGTCATGGAGGGCACAGTGCCCATCTTCTCCAGACCCAAGGCAACTCTGGGGAGTCAGGGAAATTTGCTTTTACTTTGCTCTTCCCATGAGTCCTTTTCCTCAGGGTGTCCTCATGTATTTCCCAGCACTGCCTGCACTACCTTCCTTCCTGACCAGCCCTCACTCTCTACCTTCTTATCCCATCCCTAGTCCCACCATCAGCCCAGCCCATCTAAGGTAGGATTTCCCATCCTTGATACTAGTGACATTCCAGTTGGATAATTATTTGATGGGAGAGAAGAGCTGTCCTGTGCATCGTAGGAGGTTTAGCAGCATTCCTGGCCTCTACCCACTAGATGCCAATAGCACACCCAGTTGTAACCAAAAATGTCTCTAGACTTTGCAAATGTCCCTTGGAAGGCAAAATCATCCTGTTAAAACCCACTGGTCTGTGCTAATCTGGTCATTTTGGCCGGGTCAGGGAGTCACCGTTCAGGAATTCCTTCTTGAGGGGGAGGGGTGTATTGTACAGTGATTAATACCACTCAACCTGGCGTCAGACAGTTAGGTTTTTAAATTCTTAACTCTTGGTTTACCACTTACTCTCTCTGAGCCTTGGTTTCTTCATTTGTAAAATCGTTTTAGCCTCACAGAGTTATGAGGAAGAAATGAGGTAACACATATAAAGCTGTAATTACAGTAACTAATACACAGTCATATTAACTCTCATTTAATCCCCATAATAGCTTAATTAATATCCCCATTTGGCAGATAAGGAAACTGAAGCAGGTGGAGTTTAAGTAACTTGCCCAAGTTTACATGGCTGCTAAGTGGTGAAAGCAGAATTTGGACCCACCAAGTCTGACTCCAGATCCCTCTCTTTAAATCCCTACTTTCTGAGTGTTCTGTAAATGGTAGCAATTAACATTATTACTATATAGTCATGGAATATTGCTGTCTTAAGTTCAAAGGAACTTCTGGACACTGTCCTTTATCCCAAAGTCAAGAAACCTTTTGGGGTGCAAAACTATTTTATAGGACTGTATCTGAAATAATCAGGAATTGATAGGGATGATGTCCCAAGAAAGGGAGCTATTTTTGTGTGGGGTAAGAGGAAGGCCCCTTAAGCTCCCAGGATTCCTATAGACCCTCCCAGAAATGTTATATTCTATGAGTCTTCCCAGCCCCTCCCCACCTTCCCCCAAGAAAGACCCTCTACTTCAAAGGGGCAGTAAGGGTTGCCTTTTCTGGATTCTTACGTTCATAGAAGAGATCTTCAACAGAGAGGAAAATAGGACGAAATATTCCAAATATCTCTCTCCTTTCCCAACCCAAGACCAAGGCTAAGATAGTGAAAAGTAACCCTATTACTTGAGACCCCATTACTTACTTGGAGAGAACAAGTTAGTCAGACTAAGTCCTTGAACATTCTCTAGAAGGATGGATACCACCAGGATCCTCAAAAGTCCAGAAGACACCATTCTGAAGAAGAGCTGGCCTGTCCGTCTGGTGGTTCCAGAACATAAAAATGTCTGGCTGCCTCTGTCTAGCTAGCCTATTGTTTCAGTAGTCAGTATTTTGGATATGAGATCTGGAGTCAAGCCAGCCACTATCTTTTTCTCCTGGGAACACCACGTTTCTGAGAGTATCAATGTGGCGAGCTGGCAGCTATAACCCACAGCCCTGGGGAAAGGTCTCTTATTGGATGGCTCCTGGTTCTGGTTCTTAGTCCCCTGGGCTGGGCTGGGTCCTCTGGTCAGCTATGGGGTAGGAGTGAGAAAAGTGGGCAAAGCTTTGTCTCACTTTCCAGGCTACCTTGGAAGTGAATGGGGTCTTCTTGATAACGTTGAGAGTTGTGGAATGTCCTCATTCTCTGTTCATTTTCCATTTTATCTGCACACTAACTGGCACACCCCTTTTGTTTCTGACAATGTGTCTTTTTGCTCTCTTGGTATCTCTTTGCTTCTCTGTGTCTCTGTGTGCCTTTGCCTGACTTTGTCTTTTTCCCATGATCTCTGTGTCTCTTCCTCCCTTTCCCACTCTCCTCCCATCTCTCTCCCTTTTCTCTTTAGGTCACTTCTATTGTTTGCCTAAGGCCAAAGAATAAATATGTTGCCCCAGAGCAGGGTGTGGGGAAGGAAGCGGATGATAGAGTTTGCAGACAGAGTTTGTCAAGGTTGTGTTGCTTTGAGAACAGGAGAGAATGTCAGAGCTTCTAGAGAGCTGCTGTCATCTGGCGCAAACTCCCTGTTGTCTAAGGAAGAACTATCAAATGAAGAAATCTGCCTGAGAGACCACAATACAATAAAGGTCAATAAGACAACAGAGTTGTTGGATTCTAACTGGAATAGTGGAGGAGCCATTGGAAAGATAAGCTTTCCTATAGCCACGGAATCCAGAACATGAGCCAGTCAACCAGTCTTCATAGAGGGAGACACTCTTCAAAGAGTTAATGTCATCTCTAAGGTTCCTATCCCCTTTCCTAACTAGGTATTGCACTTTTGGGACAAGCTTTGTTCTCCCATTGTCCTACCTGGTGGACAGAAACTTTGTCATCAGTGGGTGACTATCTGGTCACAAAATTTAAGATCAAAGGCAGAGCCCCTCAGCCTATGGTTAGTGATGTCCTTGACTAGGAATGCCTAAGGCACTAGGGCAGCTTTATTCACTCATGTAGTGAGCCCCACGGACATTCCCCCTACCACCACCAGGACCAATGTGGTGCTTGGACCAGCCCTGTGATTCTTATTATGATTGCAGGACCCACCACTACTAAACCATCAGGGAACTTTGGAAGAACAATATTTATTACTCACAGGTCCCAAAGGGTACATGGCAGGCTGGAGGGCCACACAGCAAGGTTGAGGACAGAGAGAGGGGCAGAAAGTGTGAACCTGGGCTCTGTCTTTATTAACGTCCACGTCTGGGGTTCCATAGTTCACTCTATTAGATAATTTAAAGCATAACAGTGGGAATTAGAACATGGGAAGGGAGAAGCAGGACCACTCAAGTGTCAGTTATCTAGGTTACTCAGGGCTTTCTAAAAGGCAGCCTGGTTCTTTATCTAGTTATTTTGCTCACAGCTATGTCTTACAGCTGGCAATATGTTCACTAGAGGTGAGTGTCTTTGAAATGAATGCCTTGGCAATCAAAAGCTTACTTACATAACTATAAAACATGTCAGACACTTATACTACACAATCCCATCCCACCAACTTCACAGTCTCACTAGATCCCACAAAGAGACTAAGGAAGAGAATTTTTAATGAACAACCAAGATGTGTTACGCAGCCCTGTCCCTCTTATTCTACTACCTGCATTCTCCCAAACTTAGCCCCGGAGGGAATAAAAAGCTGAAATTCCTAAATGGAAGGACTCTGAGGGCCCATCAGGTCCCATGTCCTCATCTTACAGGTAGGGAACATTAAGGTCCAGAAAAGTGAAAGGGGCTGACTCAATGTCACCCAGCAGATGAGTGTCAGACATGATGTTAAGAGGAAGCTGAGTGTCTAAGTTCTTACCACAGGTCACCAGGGAATTTTCTAATATCGGTGTGAATATAAAATTTACTATGGAGTTAAAGGTAGAGAGGAATAGTGGGTCCAAAGAGAATGAAGTTTATGTCCTTAGTGAGGGGCAGGGGCTAAAGACCCATGGAGTCTGTAAGTGTCCAAATACTTCCCAGGGCTCCCAATCATGGTGAAATTGTCTCTACATTTTCTGGAAAGTAAATGAAAACTCAGAATTTCTTTCTTTCTTTTTTTTTTAGCAGAAAAATTTTTTTTATTTCTATCAAATTAAAAAGTTTGAATCATCCTCAAACAAGATAATCAAAGTAATCAATAATACCATGAACAGTTAGAAGAGCGTTTACAGATTAGGTTTAGACACTTTGAATTAAGCACATACACCCAAACCGAGGGGCGATGGTTTTCACATGGGCTCGTCATAAGCACGTGACTTCCGGGACAGTGGAGCTGACATTTCCCAGGACAATAAACCAGACACAAATTGTCATGAGGTCAGAGAACTGATTTGAGCTTGAGAGGGATCACAGTGAAATGCCATTGGAATTTGACAGTTTCCCCCAGAGATGTGTTCATCTCAAAACCAAAAGTATATAAACATCAGCAGCACAAATTCTCCTAAAACTAGAGAAGCCCTCAAGCCCTGACACCTCGGAGCTGACATAAAGACTGAGTTTGTGTTTTTCTTCCCTTTACTCTTCTTTAAGTTAAATACCAACCAATTTGTTCCTATTTAGTATGTTTTTGTCTTTACAGCCAGAGTTTAAAACAAAAAAAAAAAGAGAAAGATTTAATGAAATGGGGTTACACACACTAACGCCAGGGAGAATCTCCTAGGTGCTCTGCTCCTTTGGAAAGTTTACCCAGAGAATCTTTTATTTCAAGAATGATGCCTCCTGGAACAGCCTGATTATCACTAAGGAAGAAAGGACTATCTATGCCATACAAAAACTTTCTCCCTTTTGGAAATGTTTTATCATCTCTACCTCTTTCTCTCACACACACTAATTATGTCGGGGAATTTGCGGAAGCATACAGAGAACGGCATTTGTTTGGGCCAGAATTGTGCAATTTGTTAAGGAAAGATACGGTATGGCATTTACAAATCATCATCATGATAATACATCGCAGCAGATGCAGGAAGCAGTTTTTCTTTGTAGTTGAAATACAGCGTCATGGTTTCCCAACACCTGGGTCTTGCACTCTTTTCCTTTGCAAACCAAACTGGCTGAGTTATATACAGAAAGGGATGAGAACTTATGTCCAGACCACGTTTCTGTACTAATAGAAGTCTCCGTCACTGGGCTCTTCTTTTGAAAAACCAAATAGATAAGGAAGTTACTAAAAATGGAGAGGAAGAGAGAGAAAGCAATTCATACTGTGAAAATGACTGATTTATGAATACTTTCCCTGGCAAAATTAACAGCAGCAAGGAAAGATGCTGTCTGTTAAATGAAAGGTCATAAATGAAATTCACCAGGTAGATACAGATGCCTCCCAAGATCCTGTAATGTAGTAGAGTTGAGACATATGCCCTCTGCATATACAGGGTGCAACTACCACCAGGAAACCCATTTCCTGTCTTAGCACCAGAGTGCCAAAAGCAAAGATCCCGGAAGGGAGCAAATACACCGTTTCGCCTATTAATAAGAATGGAGAGCTCAAACTAAAGAAAGGTACCAAGCAGTCCCTTTTGAATTTTCTGATTAATCCCTGTAGGTACATAAAAACACAAATTCACATAAACAGGATTATTTCAGCTCTGGCCAGTTCACTCAGTGGTTTGAGCATCGACCTGTAGATCGAAGGGTCTAGGGCACTGGTCGGCAAACTCATTAGTCAACAGAGCCAACTATCAACAGTACAACGATTGAAATTTCTTTTGAGAGCCAAATTTTTTAAACTTAAACTATACAGGTAGGTACATTGTTATTAACTTAATTAGGGTACTCCTAAGGCTTAGGAAGAGCCACACTCAAGGGGCCAAAGAGCCGCATGTGGCTCGTGAGCTGCAGTTTGCTGACTGCTGGTCTAGGTTTTGATTCCCAATTAAGGCTGCCTGCCTCAGCTATGGGCTCAATCCCAGTCAGGTACACTGGGAGGCAACCAATCAATGTGTCTCTCTCACATCAATGTTTCTCTCCCTCTCTCTCTCCCCCTCCTCCTTCCTCTCATTCTCTAAAAAAAAAAAAAAAGTCAATGGAAAAATATCCTTGAGTGAGGATTAAAACACACACACACACACACACACACACACAGAATTATTTCAGTTTTTAAATACAGGGGGGCAAGAAAATTGAAGTAATATCTATTAATTAGGGTTAATTGTTGAGGATTTAATTAGACAATGCAAATAATGTGTTTAGCATGAAGTACTGGTCAACAATAACTACTAAGAATGCCTATTCTGTAACTCGTTTGGAAATTTGTGGTCTTTATGATTTGAGCAAAGACCTCCAGCAGGTTGGAATCTTTGGAATAGAAAAAAAATTAAGATTTTGTTTTCTCATAATTATAAAGCTGTCATAGTCCAGGCACAGCCAGCAAAACGTGTTTCCTCAACTCCATGGGCTCCATTCCCTTTACTAACTACTTATGTGCTTAGGTTACTCACAGGAGAAAAACACTGTCAGCATCAACATTTAGCAATATTTTCAAAATAAGCTTTTTAAAATCTTGAATAAAAAACTAAATTATTCTTTTAGTCCAGCAATTCCATATGGTCTTATTGCATTTATACATAACATAGGATCTTTTCACGTTATGTACAAGCCTATTTCTTTTCTTTCTTTCTTTCTTTTTTTTTTTGAGGATTTCCAAAAGACGCTGTGGATTTTATGTTTTCACAAAAATGAAAGAAATGGTATTCACCCATGAGAATCAGAGCAGCAGTTTAAGTAGACCCTCCGCAGAGCTCAGTTCCTGGTGTGTGAATAATTCAGTATCATCCCCTGGTGCTCAGCTCTCAGAAAGAAATTTCAGAGGGACAAAAGCAGTAAGTATCTGTATTAATAGCCTAGGGAGGGAAGAAACAGAAATGGAAAAAATGCAATCTAATAAAAAATAGCAGAGCTCTAGTTGGTTTGGCTCAGTGGGTAGAACATTGGCCTGCAGCCTGAAGGTTTCCGAGCTTGATTCCAGTCAAGGGCATGTACCTTAGTTGCAGGTTCCCTGGCTCTGGTGGGGGTGCATGCAGGAAGCAACCAATTGATATGTCTCCCTCACATAGTTGATTCTCTCTGTCTCTCCCTCTTCCTTCCACTCTCTCTAAAAATAAGTGGAAAAATATCCTCAGGTGAGGATTAACCAAGAAAATAAAAATAAGTGAAAAGCAGAAATCTTTCTTTCATTCCAGAATGTCTGAAAAAAAGAGATTCTGTGGAGCATGGATGCAGAAAAGAAGGTGTTACTCCTAAGAGAGAAAAAAATGAACTGTGGACACAGTCACTCAAAGTCATAAAATTGACCCTGGAAAGCTTCACCCTCATTGTCACCAGGGGGGCACATACCAGAGAACATGGGACAAATCCCAGGCTACAGCCTTTGGCATCCTCACGTCTACTGGTGCTACGGTTCAACAGCCTTTAGGGGATGGGGGAGACCCAAAGACCACCACCATCATGGCTACTGTGACAACAGCATGACTCTCAGATCAGCTAGAGCTTGGGTTATACATGTTTGAAATGCAGCCTGTATTTGGTTCCTTGTGAATGGCTTGACACATGTGCAGAGATATCTTCAACATGTATAAGTGACCCTTCTTTTGAAAGGCAGTTAAGAGCCTCCTCATTAACTCTTTCTACTCATTAGTTTTCAAATCAGTTCACCATTTACACTAGAAGACACTGCAAGCTCGCTCAGCTAGCTTCTAATTGGGACACCACACCGAAACTACACATATAATTGAAAGAACCACATCTTCCTGGTCCTTCCACTGGGCGGGCTCAGTATGCATCTTTGGATTGTATAGGTGTGATCTTGTTCAAGAAAAGCATATAAACACAGGGCCAACTTTTGTTAGTCTCCATTCCAGAAAATTGGTGGAACACTCCTGGGCCCTTGTATAGTTTAATGACTGGCTTTGCCACATCCTTGTCCTTTCTTAGCCTGGCAGCAACTGCTTCAGGATTATCATCCTACTGCTAGATGAATGGTTCACCAGTGATGTCATCAATCCCATGTACCAGTTCCTAGAGCATGAAGTGATTGAACATTGTCCCCCTAGCACTCAGCTCTTAGAAGGAATTTCAGAGGGACAAAAGCATTAACTATCTGTATTAATAGCCTAGGAAGCGGGGAAGCAGGTGTAAAAAAAATTCTAATAAAAATAGCAGCAGCCAAATTCTTTCATTCCAGAATGTCTGAAAAGAAGAAATTCTATAAAGCATGGGGTCAGGGCACATATAAGAATCATGTACAACTTAGTGAAACAATAACATGATGTTTCTCTCTCTCACACTCTCTTTAAAAATCAATAAATAAATTTGTAAAAAAGAAAATATTTTTACTTACTATCTAGGGTTGAGGTTCTAGGCACTTTAGTCCACAACGTGAGCAGCACTTCTCCCCCAACTGGCAATCCTCATCTCTCTGGCACTGGGGTTTTTCAATCTTTAGACATGTTGGGGGCTTTGGTGGGCAGGAACCTGTTTTGACTTTATGGGATACAACAAGGTACTTAAACTTTAAATACTTGATCATAAAAAAATAAAAATATCACAGCTTTTATCTCTTTTATTATAATACTAGAGGCCCAGTGCACGAAATTTGTACGGTGGGGCGGGGGGGAGGTTGTCCTTCAGCCCAGCCTGCAACAACACCAGTGTCCCTCACCCCGGCCTCCAGGCCAAGGCCTCTCCCCTCCTCTCCCTCCACGTGGCCAGGGCACAGACGTTGGGCTCGCATTCCCAGGGTGATGCCGCCAGCGTTCCTCCCTGGCCACTATGGGCGCTGCCATGTTTGTCTCGGATTGACGGCTAATTTACATATTACTCTTTTATTATATAGAATCAGCATGTAACTACAGTGGAGCCTTGACTTACGAGTTTAATTCGTTCCGTGACGGAGCTCGTAACTCAAATTACTCGTATGTCAAATCAACAGTGAACGAGTGAGACAAGTGATGCTAGGCTGATGTTGTGGCGTTCACTGTGACGTTCACTGCGCCAACTAGCAGTGGGGTATCTGAAGCTGGCTCATAACCCGAATTTTAGCTCACAACTCAAAGCAAAAAATCAGCCAAGAGACGGCTCGTATCTCGAAAAACTCGTTAGTCGGGACACTCGTAAGTCAAGGCCCCACTGTTTAATATTTCACATTATCCTGGATTAAGCATAATTATTGTGCTAATACTTATAAAATTGAAAAATCATTAAAAAAATAAATACTTGATCATAGTTTGAGACAAATTTGGAGTCTCTTAGGAACCCTAAAAAGGATTTTCTTCTGATTAAGCCTTTTATCTTTCCCCCTAGCATAACAATAGAGTGAAGGAAGCAGAGTATCAACTTTCTATGGCTAATAATTTTGAGGGACATCAAAAAGTTTTTCCATCTCTTACTTATAAAATCTGATAGTATTTCTACCTGTCCCTAAAGAATTAATGGATTTGGGTTATCTAATTCCATAGTACCAGAGGTAGAAGAAAGAGTATTAGAGATTATCAGAAGTTCCTTGTTTTATAAACTATAGAAATTGAGGACCATAGAGGGGGAAGTGAGTTGCCTAAGCCCACACAGAAAAGTTGGAAGTCAGTTGAAAAGACTTGACTCCTTCCATCATACCATGCTGTTCCTCAAAACACTGACAATCCCTGGGACAAGATCATACCATCTGAACAGTCAGGGGGGTGGAGGGGGGAATGAACACTAGCCTTAGAGGCTGGAGAGTTTACTTCTAGCCCAACATATTTTGCTACCAATCCTTTCCCTAGCACACCTTACAGGGTGTGAATATGCTGTGCATGCTCTGAAGTTCTCTGCAGACTTACTAGGAATATACTCAATGATTATGATTTTTGGTATGAATAAGTGCATCCTGTCACCTTGTAGGCTGTTGCAGAAAGAGATTCAGAATGAATGAGTTTTCATGGGGAAAAAATGGGGAGTGATAGCACACATGATTGACTTTGAAGAACAGCATAATAGTCTCCTGAGATCAGGAGGGCAACATGAGGATATTGTTTGGGTATTAAAGGGGGAAAGGTTCTCAAGAGAACTCTAAGGTTAACCTAAGACACAGCACAGCATCCTCAGCTCGTATACTTTGGGAGGCATACCCGGTACTCACCTATCCAGAAGACGGAACAAACAAAGCCACACATGGATTCACAACATTTTTCATTCTCAGCGCAATCATTGTCACTCTTACACGAGCCCGAACATTGCATACGGTCCTTGGAAGTAAAGAGTGGGCACTGTCCTTTCTTGACTAAAACAAGAGCAGATATGAGCTCCTTAAAACCCCATCCCATTGCCCCACCCTCAAACAACTTGTCCTCTTCAAAACTAGTATTTCTGTGACTTGGTTCATTCTGCCTACGGCTAGTGGGCTGTGGAGGAATGAAATGCCTCACATTTTATGGGATGCAATAGACCAGGGGTCCTTAAACTACGGCCCGCGGGCCACATGCAAATACAAATATTGTATTTGTTCCCATTTTGTTTTTTTACTTCAAAATAAGATATGTGCAGTGTGCTTAGGAATTTGTTCATAGTTTTTTTTTAAACTATAGTTCGACCCTCCAATGGTCTGAGGGACAGTGAACTGGCCCCCTGTTTAAAAAGTTTGAGGACCCCAGCAATAGACAAAGAGTTAGGATTGGTGTTTGAAGCCCCAAGGTAAAGTCCCAGTCCTGCTTCAGTTTCTCCTATACCAGTAAAATAGAAGTGTTATGTGAGATCTGCACAAATCAATGTAAGCCATTTTCGGGGATTTGGTTTTACTTTGAATGAGGAGTGACGGGATGACTCGCATTTTGAAAGGATCGTTGTGGCTATTGTGTAATAGATTGTAAAAGGGGAAGGATAGAAGCATGGAGACCTGTGAGTAGGCTGAAGCCATATCCAGGTGAGAAGATGACACCTCCTACCAGGGTAGCAGTTGTGGAAGTAGGAAGAAGCAGCCAACTCCTAGATCTATTTTCCTAACTAAACGGATGTTGATTGAAAAAGGAAGATATCATGGGTGATTTAGGAGTTTGGTGTTGTTTTTTACAACTAAGATGGGGTGATCTATGGATATGGCAGGTTTGAGATGGGAGAGTTAAGGTATTCAATTTTAGACAAGTTAAATGTGAGGCATTTATGAGATGCAGATAATCTCAAAGTCTGAGCCTTTAGCAGTATGGGTTTTCTGTTTCTAGTTAGACTAGGCTCTCAGATTGCCAAGGGTATTAGTCTTACCAGTTAACGAGCAAGCCTTCATGCAGTCTTCCTTGCTGAGGAAGTTGTTGGAATTTCCATCACAGCCTCCATATTTAAAAGGTTTGCATAAAAGATTTTTTAAATCATAATGCCAGCGCCTATCAAAATGCTTACAGTTTCCTTGATCGGATGGTAGCATGCAGGGTTCTGAGGGCAAGAAGCAAAGAGGGAAAAACATAAAAGGTAGCAAAAGAGGGAAGGGGTCAGGCCCTCAGCATTTTTATAATTCATGGTGTTACCATTCACATCATAGAAAGAGCCATGGTCAATAAAACTTCTAGTCTTCACTCTACTACAAATGCTCTGTAGTGACTAGCATCTCTGAGCATCTTTTCTACCTTGCAAAGGATCTCATAAAGAGTACACGAGAACGCTTTGGAGCTGATATTTCCACTTCTCTGAGCTTTGGGAGGGCAAGACTCGTTCAGCAGCTATATCCAAAGTGCCTAAGACAGTGCCTGACACATAGGAGCATTAAAATACTGAGAAAGAAAGAAAAAAAACACCCGCTCATGACTGGAAACTTACCTGATGCTCACAGCTAAGTCATGTTGTTTCTCTGTAGGACATAAACAATCTCACAGAACAGCCACATCAATCAAGGTCACTCTGAGACCAGTATAAATTGAACCAAAAAATAAAAATCACTGTGAAACCCACAAAATAACAAGCACCTTTGAGTGATTTATGCTTCTCTACTGATCCTCATTCTAGCCTGTCCTCTCTGTAGATAAGATTCACCGAGGTACTCATAGAATTGCCCCACTTTCTGATAGCATCCAATCTAGAGCCAACCCCCACTTCCTTAGACTGTCCCTGAAATAACCCTATCAAAGCCTCAATCCCATAGTAGATTCTTTCTAACAGCTTCTTAGTGAGATGCCTCAGGTTGTCTGTGATGAACTCTCTCCCTGACTGCAATGAGTAATAAACCCCACTTGTTTAATTACAGGTGTGTTTCTGGTGGACTTTGGGCAAAAGACACTGACAATAGATATTTGTTGAGTGGATTTATATAAAATGCAGAGTTCCCTACTATTAGATGCTCAATAGCTTGAGTTACCAGAAAACTTCCTTGGAGGCCAAAGAGTCCAACAACAACACCAGCGTCTAAGCTGACTGAGGTTTATATTTGGGACTGTGTGTCTCTTGACACACAGTGAGCATGCACTTGAAAGTTGGGAGTCTAATTAGAAAAGGTGCAAAACACGAACCCTGGCCTCTTTATCCTGCCATCCTAGGGAATGTTCAGCCAGTTCTGGACCAGTAAGAAGTAAGGTGCCTCAAATGGCACCTCTGCCTTCAGCCTGGAAGCCACTACCTTCGTATGGATCCATGCACTTCTTCCCACAGGCAAATTGGCAGCACTTCAAGTGTTCCTCGCAGCCATAATCCCCTGTACACGATCTTTGAATTCTAGTCTGACACTTGAGTCTCTCTTTAGGGCATATTCCTGGTTTCTCTGCAAGAAAGGTATGTCTGAATTCACAAACAACTCTTGAGAGTTTCAGCTCTTCTGCCATAGCAAAGGTGAATAGTGAAACTATCTCAGTCCTATCCTCTGCCTTTAATCTTCAGTTCTTGCTGACTGTATTTAGGGACTGGGTCTGCCTCTCACCACTCTCAGCCCATTGAGATAGATCTGAATTAGAAATGTGTGCCCACGTAGAACTAAAGGGGAAGCTTCTTAGATTCCAGGGCAGGGGGTTAAATGGTAACCAAGATCCTTGCCTTAAATTCAGGAGCTCTCTCCTCTCGAAACTTAATATTTTAATGCTTAATTCCTGTCTCTAGTATCTTAGTTGACAAGGGGAATTAATTAGTGGGGAGTAGCAGAAATATGGAAATAGGAGTCAGGAGGCCTAATTTTAGCCCCTAACTCCCTGTAAGTTCAAGACCAACCTGAGTTCCACTATATGATTCACATTTCCTATAAGGGGGAAGGAAATGTTGGAGTGGAAGAAGCACTGTAAGCATGACAGATCTGGCTTGGGAGTTTGACTCAACACAACCAACTAAATAATCTTAGAGAAAATGTCTTCCTTCGTCTGTGTCATAATTTCCCAATCTGCAAAATGAGAATTACAATCTCTACCTTATAGGCTGCTTAAAACAATGAAGTGGGATGATGCCAAAATGTACTTATCGTGCCTGGCACATGGTAAGCGCTTGGCACATATGGGTTTACTTCCTTTCTATTTAGGGCTAGACATGGCTTCCTTATTTCAGCTCTTGTATGAGGCAGAATTCCAAAGTTGTATCCTCAAGATTCCGATCCTCTAGTTATTGGATCAAACACCCATTTAGATACTGCTGTGAAGGGATTTTGTAAAGGGCATTAAAGTCCAAGTCAGTTGACCTTAAGATACATTGATTATTTAAGTGGGCCTGATTCAATTTCTTGAGTCCTTAAAAAGATAAGAGGGTCCCCCCCCCATAATTAGTAGAGAAGAAAAGGCCATAAAGATTCAAACTATAACACAAATCCATTATGCTGTTCATAGCTTTGAAGCTGGAGGAGGCTCAGTGCCAAGGAATGAGGGTAGACTCTAGAAGATGACAGCCAATAAGGAAACCTCAGTCTGCAATGGCAAGAAAAGGATTCTGCTAACATCTAGCGATCTTGGGAGAGTCCCAGAAGACAACAGTAGCCTAGATGACACCGTGATTTCCGCCTGGTCAGAACCTGAACACAGGATCCTCCTTCCTCCTACGAGTAACTGGTTATGCAGCAACAATGCTTCATTTTGCTTCATGCTCATTACTTCTCCAGTGGAACCTGACCAGAGAGGCATGATCCTTTTAAACAATACTGAGTCTTGGAACTATAGATGTTGAGAATTACAAACACCAAAATAATCATTAGCATCAACCTTCTAATTTCATAGGTTTAAAAACAATAAGGTCAGAGTAGATAACAGTGAAATAGGGGGAGGTCTGGGACTTCTAATCCATGGCTCACTCCAGAAGATCCCACATCTCCCCTAAGGACTGGCCACTGAGACTTATAATATTTTCAACTATATTTCTTACCTCTCCGTCCACCCTTAATATTCCTCCAAGGATAGCCTGAAGCTAAGAAGAGCATATGGTTCCCATCCTGCAGTGCACAACAAAATCATCTGTGCATCATTTAGCAAATATAGACCATGAACTGAGTCAGAATGTCTAGAAAGTGAGGTCCAGGGACTCAGATATTTCAAGTTGCTAGGTAATCTTGAAGCAGCCGGCTGGGCACCATCATGTAGACTACTAATTGGGAACCAGTGTTCTAGGTGTGGGCACAGAGTTAAGCAAATCACACAGGACACCTCCAAAGAGGTAAAGATGCATAAAAACCTTGGGATTATGAAGACAAACTTCCCTTCTCACTAGTGCTGACTCCAGCCAGTTCTTCCTGCTCCCTGTTTTGGGGGCTATTTAAACCTTTCTTGGGGTTTCAGTCTTGGTAGCCTCTTACCCCACTTTCAGCTTGAACTCTCACTTAGAATCCTCCTTCCTCCCTGTCAACCCTTCTCAGCCACTTACCTTGTGTGTACAGTTTCCATTGTGATACACACCCCAGGGGTTCCTCTGCTGTTACTGGGGATGGTCCCCAAAGTTCTGGTCTTAGCCCTCTCCTGTCATTACTTGACACGTACTTCCCAGATGACCACGTCCATTTCTGTGACAATCCCATCTGTGATTCCTTTATCTCCCCAAGACCTCTCCTCTCTTCCAGGCTAACCACCTGGGGACAATGGCATTTGAGCATCTCATAAGCACCTCTGTTGCAAGATGTTTAAAAAGAGCCAGTGTCCCCCGATGCCAAAACCGTGGCTTTTGTCTGTTCCCATTTTGACATTTGGCAACAATAGTCCCCATGAAATAAGCTCCTCCGTTTCCATCAGCCTAGCATCCTATCAGTCATGGACTTGGGTTGATTCAATCTCCTAACTCTCCAAGCCCCTCCCTTCTCCCTCTTTACTATGACTTCCTCTGACCTTTCTTAACTATTCCAACAGCCTCCTCACTGGTCCTCTGCCCTCCGGCTCTTATCTAGTGACTGATTAATTTTTTTAAATTAAACTTGGAAAAAACACACATGGGAAAAGTTAGGGAAATAATTTTCAGAGAGCAGGTGAGGGAAGGATCTGAAGGGCCCAAAGTGGGTGAGTAGGACTTGTTCTCTGAAACCATAGTGGAAGTGGCTTCATCCAACACAAGTCCTGGCCTCACGCCGAACCCTCAGTCTCTGAGAATGCCTGCTTAGGATGAGCAGCTACAGCTTTTCTGAACCCACGTCTGATTCTTTGGCGTGGCGCCGCAAATGTCATCTCCAAAGAGAGGGAGAGAAGCAGCAGGAGAGCTCTGCTCCTCCTGGAGACGGTGGCGGTGTGGCGAGGAAGGGGCCTGTGTGGGATGAGAAGAGGGGCAGGGGTTAGGCACAAACCAGAGAGAGACACAAAGCACATGCAGATGAACCTTAGAAATAATCCACCAATTCCTTTAGTTTACAAATTTAAAAAACTGAGAATCGTAATGGAGAAGGGGCTTGTCTCTGGTCACATGGCAAGTAGGACAGGACCTTCAGTCCCAGGACCCTCCCCATGGTCCCACACTCTTCCATGGTACAGTATGTGATCTACCCAGACACTTGCCCATGTGGCTCTGGGTGAGAGGCCACATGTGAATGATCACAGTGATTCCGCTGTAGCAGTTACAAGGCTAGTTTTCCCACAGTCACTCCTGGGGCAATCCCAGGCTCTAAGGAGCACTTTTCTTTGTACCACTCATGACAAGAAACAGATTTTCAGGAGAGAGCCTGGGCATATGGCCCTCCATCTTAGGAGGAACAATGATCCCAGATGACCTGGGGGTAACAAAAGGATCCCTTTTATTCCTTCTAGTGTTATCCGAGCCTGGGAACTTATGATCTTAGACAACCACATAAATAGATGATATTTCCCCACTAACTCACATCTCCATTTTCTAAGTCTCTTCCTGGCCCTTAAGTATTTTTAAAATATTATGATGGGAAGAACTGCTAATGCCTTACTGTATTAGCTCTCTTGGAGTAAATGCATTTTTTTTAAAATATATTTTTTATGGATTAAGATATTACATATGTGTCCTTGTCCCCACGTTACCCTCGAACTCCCCCGCCCCCACGTTGTCCGTGTCCATTGGTTAGGCCTATATGCCTGCATATAAGTCTTTTGGTTGATCTTTCCCCCTTACCGCCACCCTCCCTTACCCTCCCTCCAAAGCCCGACAGTCCAATCAATGCCTCTCCGTCTCTGGATCAGTCCTT